TCGATGCTTTCTAGCAGAAAACGGAGAATGTCTGACCTGCGGGTAACTTCAAGACGAGAAGTCTTGGTAAAGTGTGAGGTCGACATTTTGAAATAAGATATTCCGGCCCGCATATGGGTTAAGGCCACGGAATAAATGAGTTGCCTGTCTAGTTAGGTTGAAGAACGGGAAGCAACTGGCTTGCAAACGCTGTTCGTTTGAGACGCCAGGAAACGCACGGGAAAAAAAATTCAAAATCTGTTAGGCTGACTTTATCAGCAGGAGCTAGTAAGCGACCTTCCTTCCTCCAGATTACTGCTACATCTAGCTGTGAGAGAGAGGAAGGGGTGCGACCCGCGCGCACACACGCACGAGTGTGGAAGAAAAGGAGGAAAACTCGCGCGCGCGTAAAATATAGATGGAATTAGTGTGTTAATTCCATAAGATTTCTCGTACATCCAGGACATTAAACGTAAAATAAACTGAGCGTCGACCAAAACCAGTGTGATACCTACTGCGGCCTTCTGGGGTTGACTCTTAGTCACTACCACTAATATGTCACCCAGTGGATCGGCTGTCGCTAAATACCCGGCGAGATCCTATTCTTCAGGGTACCAAATGGGGTGTTCGGTCGATTCTAACGGCACGAATACGTAACAGCTTCACGCCAGATGCAACCGATCCAACACCAGCCCCGTCGTTTTCAGCTCGCTTCCAAGGATTGGTTACCGAAGTAACTACCTTCATCTCGATTCTAACCTACTCACGTTGTGATTTTGATTTTAGGTTGATGAGATCAATCAGACACCGGGGCCGTCGTGCAAGATGGGTTTAAACTAGCGGTGACGTCTCACAAGCAAAAATAAATAAAAACAAACAAAATTATCGGGTATGTTTTAAGAAAGCTAATCAACTTTTATCAGTCTGTCCTCTAGAGGAGTGTGTGTTCTTACCAACCCGTTTCTTCTGAGAATGAGATCTTTTTATATTACTAGGCAAATTCTGGTCTTCTATGGTTTAGTTTCTGGCGATGGCTTAGAATGGTTTGTCTGTATAACTTGCTGTCAATAGAAAGGCGAAATCGGAGGGTTTATGTTTTTTGTTTTGTTTTTTTTTTTTTGTTTTTTTGGCAGGAATCGTGGAATCTATCGGTCAGCTCTCTCGTAGGTCTCTCCAAATGCTGACTAGCTGACTGACTGGCAAACTGCCCGAGAGCGCTCCCTCATATGGTCTTCAGCCAAAACCCGGTGTGGGGGTTAAACACAACCTGGAGTTTTCGATGAAACCCCGATTTCCAACAAGGGTCCCTTTGTTGTCTGGCTAAGAAAATTAATCAAATCACATTTTTGGAAAATTAATTATTTCTGGGGGAGGGGATCCCTTCATCCGTGAGGAGAGGTTGCAGGATAGCTCTCCTCTTAAACTGTTTCTTCCTCACGTTGGTACCTTACACCAATTCTTTTCGGTGGGCATTATTAACTACTTCGTTTCTCTTACTATTTTAACTCCGTCTATCACCACTGCTACCATACGACCAATGGTGTCTCGGTCTTTCTGGTGTGGCTAAGCTTGCTTCATTAATTAACACTTTGACACCTGTGCTTATTTAGGATTTCTTATCCTGTTTCCAGATCATAAGCAGTTTAGAATTATCAACTGGAACTTTGTTTACGCAAATCGTTTTTGCGCCCTTGTATAATATCTACAATTAACACATGGCCCTCTCATCTGGCCATTTTTCGGTCACATTACCTGTGTACACAATATCTATGAACTGCCGGACGATAAATTCGTCCATTCTGGTTATTTTGTGTTTTCTTAACAAGCACTTTTAAGGACCATTATTAATCATTTGTCAGAGACCGCCACATTGCCTTTTCGTGAAATTCTTCGGTTTCTTGAGAAAAATAAACTTTTGGAAAAAAAATAATACAATCTTCTATTGATCGGTATATCCTAAGCCTTCTTTTCTGTTTTCAGCATTTTCCCGTTCAATTTTTTATGGCTAATTAGTTAATTAATTACCATAGCTAAATAGTGTCACACGAGTAGCCACTAAAAATTAAGTTTAAAATTGGTTGAATTTTACCGACATATCAACACATCTCTGGGTTATTTAATGATGAAACCTATATATTTTGAAGGCAATTATATGACTTCAACGACAGATAAAACGTATTGTGGGTCATTTGTTGGTAAATTTTATAGAAAATGCATTGCTGTTATTTAATACTTTCATGCTGTCTTCCTTTTGTTTCGAGGGTCACTATTTGTCGATATCTGGGAACTTAACAGTTTCTACCACCCCGAACATTAAAATTGATTATATATATATATATATATATATATATATATATATATATATATTACGTTGGCCAGAAAATCCAGATTCACTTTTTGACGCTCCAAAAACTTTCGCAAGATCAAGACTGCTTGCAGAAGATTCATCTTTCAATGTTGCTACTAAAGCCTCGCTGTGAAAGTTTGATGGTTTGCCGGAACGTGTTTCATCCTCAAGGGTATGAATCCCAGAGTTGAAACGTCTGTGCCACCTGAAGACCTTCGACTGACTGGCTGTGACTTCTCCTTCTGTATCGCAAATTACTTTCACAGTAATTTTTGTAGAATGTCTTCTTTTGTAACAGGAGCGAATGAAAACTATAATTCCATTTTCTTTGAAACTCATTTCTACCTATTATGACTTACACAAACAGGAATAAACTGCGCAGGTGCAACAAACAAAGCCGTTTGTCTAACATAACCTAATGTTTCAGTATAATTTTGTTGTTTTCTTTCCTAAATAGTTAAGGGCTTAATGCCCAATCTATTATATAATAAACACTCCCAATAGCATGATGCCCACCTAGACGATTTGAAACTTGAGTTTCTCAAAGAATACCAGGTTTTAGACAAATAAATATGGCATACTACACTGTCATCCTGTCTTGTATTTTATACTCTGAGATATTTTACGTCAAATATAAATTGCATTGTAAACGCCACATTGGATAGTAACCCCCAGCGTCTTTGCTTTCCTTCATCACGCCTTTCCTAGTCAAAAGAGAAATATATGTACAATCTTCACCTACAGTTTATTTGTTTGGACATACCAATAGTAGGAATTTCAAGAGGAATTTGGATTCACAAGCGATCCCCAGCATCATACAGGAACAATGTGATCCAATTTGAATCCAGGGTTTCGTTCTTCTAAACTGGTTGTCACCCACATCTATAGAACCCACGAGCAGCATGGCCCGGCGTTGTCCGTGCTTGATTCAAAATTCCTACGACATACAGATATCGCTATCACTTGACTTAAAATATTTTTGCCCTTCCTTGCCTTTAAAGAAGTGCCCTTTGCCGTGCTGATGTTGCTACATGCCTTACTTCTTGCCTCGCACTGCGATTTTTTTCTAAGCTAAACATTAAATATTAATACTAAACATTAAATCTGTTATGAAAAAAGAACTAAACAAAATGAACACAAAACGATCAGCTTTAAAAAAAGGACTCGAAACTGGAAAAACCGAATGAAAAAAGAATGTTAACAACAAATACTTTTTCACACCCAACCCAATTCTCCGGAATCAGAATCAACGTTGTTTAATCAAGCGAATGAACCAATTGGAGTAAAGTGCCATGCAGATTTACAATTTTCCCACTTGTGACGAATGCAGCTATCGATTTTTTTTGCATGCTAACATGCTAGCTAACAATCGTGTCAGTCAGCTATTGGTTCTCACGCTGGCCAATAGTATCTTCCTTCCGATTCGTTGCAGCCAGCTATAGGCTCCCACTCTGGCCAGTAGAAAATGGCCGCAAACTACATGAAAAGTGCCGTAGAAGCATGAAAAAATCGATTATTTCCAGTATCGATGGGAGTTGGAAAATGCAAAGGCGGTCTTGGCCTTCCCGGTCACTGGGAGCCTGTGCAGGTAAATTTTGGTGCAAATCCGTCGATAATTGCGGCCGTGCATTTGTTACACACACACACATCGTGCCTTTTATAGATAGAGATTGTTTCCTGCTATTTTAACCATAGCTGGCGAGAGAAGATATGGATTCATAGCATTAGCAAGTAAATGAATGTAATGATCTCAAATAGAATTTTGAACTTGGCTCCACGAATTCTTAACCATTAACAGCAAAATTGTCCATTTGTTAAATTAAATTTATGTAACCGTTGCATCTAAAAGATATCTTACTGGAGTTTTTTTTTTTTTTTATATAATACTATTAAGTAATAAGGATGCATAATTACTCTCCAAGCATATCAGGATCAAATCGATCATAAAAGAAAAATGACGTGTTAATCATTAATTAATAATAGCTAAGGATCGGAAGTTCATGAAGCATTGAAATAAAGTTCAAATATATATATATATATATATATATATATATATATATATATATATATATATTATATTATTCAGGATCCTTTTCAACTTCGCTCTCTCTATCATTCTAAATTTCTCTCCTGGAGTAACGAGGCGCGTCACATGTTTCACCTACGATTTCATCTTTAAGTCATGTTTCAATGCTTTTTGGACTCACATAGATGAAACAACTCTCTCACGTACCAAATATCTTATGAATTGAGTTGGATCTTTTCTAATGTTGAAATGATAAACTCTCTTCTGACCGCCTGATCCAGTTTTCGTCTATACTGTTCCCGCTTTTTTAAACTTTTTGACCGTTCTTTTGATGGTTCTTGAATGGACTTGAAGATGGAGCAAGAATATGACTGCCTGTATCATTTCTGAAGGCTCGAATGATGATTTTCCTCTCAAAATTGCTCAGTTGGGAAGATGGTATGACTGGCACAAAACAATTTTATCCTGTTCTCTTTCTAACAGAATAACTCAAAAGATTTTTTCTTCTGTGTTTCTTACGACAAATGGTGTCATGATGGCTAAATGTCTTTAAAGCCTGTAAAAAAACTCAATTAGTTTAGTGTGTTTTTAGATATTAAACACTTTTGGGCAAGGACAATTATTCTGTTACACTATTCGTTCAATTCTGCTGTTACACCCAGTATATATATATATATTGTTGTGGCCTTTTTAGGGACACAAATAACGATGCAAGGGAGGAATTCTGTTTAAAAAAAATATATTAACAGAAACAGAATTACAAACATATACAAACGAGTGTGTTACAGCACGAATGTACGGTCCGAGTTTCAAAGCTGGAATTTCCAAAAGGCAGTACCTGCTCCTATTTATAGCTGGGAGAATCCATGCGTATGTGGGTAAATTACTATATATATATATATATATATATATATATATATATATATGTGTGTGTGTGTGTGTGTGTTTGCGCGCGCGTGCGTCTCTGTGTATGTGAATGAGATAATTATGCATACATATATATATATATATATATATATATATATATATATATATATATATATAGAACAGTATTGGAGAAAGTGTATGACAACGTGGAAAATGCGTACTTGTGACGCGTTTTGTCCTTCAGGGTCGGCTGAACAGTTCATATGTTGACCAACATATAAATTTATGTACACACACACGCTGTTAGACTAAAAGACATGTATAAATACAACGACTGTTCACGAAGGTCTGTTTATTCAACATTTTATTACTTTCCAATTTCAGGGTGTTATCTTGTCTGGTAAGAATGGGTGTTATTATTATCGTCTGCAATATTTGACTAAGATAGCTGGAATTAATGATTCTCAATTAAAAAATTCTTTCTAAAGGGTAACTCCCAGAAGGTAGTTGTTAATGCCCAGTCCAAGTAGACCCGAGCCATGAACGATTCTCAATTATAAAAACCTTCCTAAATATCTCTGTTGATAATACAACCGCATATTGAGGATTAGTGCATTTCCAAAACTGTAGATGACCAGTGATTAACAGCTTATCTCTTCTATCTCCAAAATATCAGTGGATTAAAAACATCTTTAGTCATATTCAATGCCACGTAAATAAACATCTGACATTCCATCATTGCCAGTCATCGCCAGAATTATCACCAACCACGATAAGCGGATTGTCCTTAAGGGAGACACAGCGCTTTGAGCGCCTTTTGGGCGTTAGACTCAACCTAGATATCAAGTGAAACTCGGACATATGATCCATCGCTGAAGATGTTAAAAAAAAATAGTCGATTCCTTGTACCGCTCCAGCTAGTACCTAACTGCTATTGCTTATATTCTACCTTTACAAGAGCCATACTAGTTCTACCGCCATATATTGGCAGGGGCTGTAAAGTTTTCACTTATTTTTGTGTCTCTAGGTACTTTTGTTTGCTTATTTATACTTGATTGTTTAGATAAAAGTGAATGTTTATTCATACATATGCCTTTATATTTACATTAGTTTATAGGTAAATATCCTAGTCATATGTTTGGTTCTACAGCAAATTGCTTTCCTTCATATTTTACTTTGCAGTTTTTTACTAAGTATACGTCCATTTAGAAGTAGCAACTAGTATTCTAGACATTGCCGACAGGGCAGACTTAATTTATATAGTTATAGCTAACTACCTTTATATGCATCTCACTTACAATATATTACAGTTTAAAATATTTATCTAGTAATTTTTGATAGTCACATGTGCATTTAAATTTAATCATCAACAATATTGACCTTTTTTTTTCTGATGGTGTCGTACATTGGGTTATAATAAGAGATTTCATTTTTCACTAAATAATAATCTGTCTATATTTCTGAGATGAGGTATTATGTACACTATTTACATTATTCGGACTATTGCCCTCATCTTTGTCGCCATATTTATTACAACGTTCCGGCCGTTGTACGCTCCGGCCTTCTTCAGGTGGTTGGAATGTCGAACTGATCCTTTTATTTCGCTCACTGGGGTAGACTGTTCTAGTTGCATGTGCCATGTTTAATGGATGTCAGTTATCAGTTATCACCTGTTAATTCCCCTCTCCAAGTTCTCCACTGCTTTAACCGGGTATTGAACTCACACTCTTACATTCTAATGTAAATAGTGTAAAAATAAAGACTTTTTTTTTTAGTTTAGCCGTCTATCTATCTGTATGGGTGATTTGATGCAGAAATCTAAATATTTTGTACGCCATTTTATGACTTCAACTACAGATATTTGGGGTATTATTTTATACTTTTAAGATAAACGAATGTTTTATAGATATATACTTGGCACCTAATATATTGCATGTCTTTTATATTTTGATATACACCTATTTTTTCAGTAGCACATAAACCTTTGATGGTTTCAGTATTTTCAACAGTATTCCTATGTTTTCCTTATAGTATGTGTACCTTACAGATACTAAGTGAGTAAATTCAGATAAAATGAGTGCATACTGGAATGTTGTACTTATTGGTTGATCTTTGTTCGTCAGCAAATATGAATGGCTGTAGCATGTTGTGGCCTCTGTGTAGTCGAGTCAGCGTTACTTCGTCTTTTCTTCCATCTCTAAATATTTTTTCCATTCACCTAAGAATGGTTTTATTGCGAGAAGTTTATTATTTGTGTTGTGGTCCAGTGCTTCTGCCATTTTCTGTTGAATAGAACTTTTCCTTTTATTTTTAGATCTGAATCGGGTATCTTGAAATTATTATTATTAAATGTTCCGTTTTGAGCAATCTAG